TGGCTACCATTCGCATGGGCGAGCAGGAATCGGCGACCGAGTACTGCAATCGAGCGCGACGAATTTTGGCCGACTTGCGAATGGCTGGCTTTGAGTACTCGGTGGCGTCGTATGTCATGCATGTCATCAACGGCCTCCCATCGAACTACAATCTGATGCGCCGGATGCTGATAATTCCCGGCACGCGCGAGACTCTGAACGAGGATTCGCTTTCGAGTCACATCATCCAGGATGAGTTCATGCAGGAGTCTGAGCGGTCTTCAGAGCTTCTTCCGCAGGCCAACTACGTTGCTCCGGCGAAGCAGGGACGCCAACAGGGGCAGCGTGGGCAGTCTGGCGGCGGCGGTGGCTGGAAGTCATCGAACGCGAAATCAACGGAGGGCGCCGACCGCGGAAAGTCGGCGAAAGGAGGAGATTGCGGCAGCAGTGGCTCGCGTCGAGAAGGACGTCGCTGCTAGCGATGCGCCCGACCACCTCTCCTACGACTGCCCCGATCGCGAGAACTCTGACAACGATGATCACAAGGGAAGCCGCGGGAAGTCCAACAACGGTCGTCAACGTCGGGACAACAAGCCGCGCAAGGAGAAGCAGCCGTCGAAGACGACTTCGACGAAGGATGCTGACTCCTCTGGCGACAGTGCTCGTGGCGAGGAGGCTTCGTGCTTGATGGTCAGTGTGGTGGAGCCGACAATCTCGCTGGCGCTGGAGGCTGGTGAAGACTTCAAGGCGGTCGCTGCTGCTGTGCAGGCCAATCCGACCATTGTGCTGCTCGACAGTGGCTGCTCTCACCATTTGATGGGGATGAAGGAGGCCTTCGTCGACATGCAGCCAAGCGGCGATGTACGCCACGTCCACGGCTTCAACGGGGCACTTCAGAGCGTCGAAGGCAGAGGCACCGTTGCTCTGCAAGGGGAGGCCGAGAAGTAGGTCCTCGTCCCCGACGTACTCTACGTTCCGGGTGTGCACGCGAACCTGCTGTCTGCTGGCCAACTCAAGGAGAACGGCGTGAAATTACAGGACGACGGCGGAGAGATGCTGCTTGTGTCTTCTACTGGCGATGTCCTTGGTTGAGCACGCTACTCCGGCGGAGTACTTTGCACCGACCTGCGCCCCTGCTCGACGAAGTCTACGACGGCTTCGACGGAGGTTGTGGCTCTGCGGACGATCGCGTCTGCGACGAAGTTGACCCTGGACATGTTGCATGCAAGGCTTGCGCACGTCGGCGTTGACACGATCAAGAGCTCGGCGAGACATGAGGTCGCCGCCGGTCTGGACATCAAGAAGTCGACCGCAGCTGATCTGCCATGTGCCTCCTGCGTCGGCGGTAAGCTGGGAGGCACACCTTTCCCGACAAAGGTGCAGAAGCCGAGAACGCACTCGATGTAGTGCACGTCGATCTCTGCGGGCCATTTTGGGTGGCGTCCAACGATGGCAGCCTCTACTTTCTTCTGTTGAAGGACAGGAAGACTCGCTACGTGTGGGTTCGGCCGATCGCGAAGAAAAGCGACGTGCTGGTCGTCTTCGAAAAATGGCTGAAGGAGGTGGAGCGGCAGACGTCGAAGATGGTGAAGAAGTTGCGTTCGGAACGCGGAGGGGAGTTCCTCGGTCGCGCCTTCACCGACCTCGTCGAGGACAAGGGAATCCTCCACAATCTGACGTGCCCCTACACTCCGCAGCAGAACGGGATGGCCGAGCGGGAGATGCGCACGGTGGTCGAGGCCGTGCGTACGATGCTTCAGCACGTGGGCGTGAAGCATCACTGGTGGCACCTCGCTCTGCGACAGGCCGTCTGGGTGCGCAACTGCCTCGAGCGTGCTTCTCTGCCGGAGGGGACGACGCCGCACGAGCTGCTGTTTGGGAAGAAGCCGGATTTGACGCTGGCGCGGGTGTGGGGCTGCATGGTGCAGTTCATGGTCCCCGAGCAGCAGCGCGGCGGGAAGTTGGAGCCGAAATCCCGTTGGGGTCTCCACCTGGGCGTGTCGCTGGAAAGCAAGGGCTGGGAGGTGCTCGACTTGACGGACAACAAAATCGTCACGACGGTCGAAGCGATCTTTCACGAGAACTTGTCGATGGAGATGTGGAAGGCAGAGTATGGGCCGGCGTCGACGAGGACGCCATATGCCCCGCCGCCAAATTCCTCCTCGGAGATGTCTCCTCTGCTCGCCGTCGTCGACGAGCTTGATGACGACGACGTAGAGGAAGTCCCTCTCCCTCCTCCTGTTGTGCCCTCGTCGGCCGCCGGCGATGAGGGAAGCCTTGGTGCGTCGCCTGCGGCGCCGACCGGTTGCATCGCCGGTGGCCAACATGCGTCGCCTGCGGCGCCGACCGGTTGTATCGCCGGTGGCCGACGTGACGCCGAAAAGGTCGGCGACGTGAAGCGGCAGACGACAGGGGAGCTGTCGGCGTCGAAGCCGACTTCAGCGAAGCCGCTGGAAGAGGCGCCGAAGCATACTGCACAGGAGACATCTGCAGAGGCGCCAGCTTCAGGGGAGCCGTTGGCAGAGAAGCAGAACTTGGCGCAGCAGTCGGTAGAGGAGCTGCCGACAGGGGAGCAGTTCGATGATGACTCGTCGAGCGACGACGTTGTGGAAGTCGTCGGTGCGGCCAGTGGTGGAGAAGGGGAGCAGTCCGTAGATGACGAAGTGGTAGAGGTCGCGGTCGAAAAGGAGAAACCGCGCCGTTCTACCCGCCACAACATCGGCAAGCCGCCTGAGAAGCTGAGCTACCACGCTTGTCTGCCGCCGACGGCCTACAGCACTCTGCTCGACGACGCAGAGGACGACGTTGATCTGCCCGAACTCGACCCCGACATGCACGTTGACCCAGAGCATCGCTGGGACATTGCCAACATGACAGTGAAGGAAGCGTTGGCGAGCTGGAAGGGCACGGCGGTGAAAGCTGCCATGGACAAAGAGATCAAAAGTCTCATCTCCAATGGGACGTGGGAGTTGGTCGAGCGTCCGCGCGGTGTCAACATCATGAAGAACCACTGGGTGCTCACGACGAAGTACCACGTCGACGACACGGTCGCCCGCGAGAAGGCCCCCTTGGTCGTGAAAGGCTTCACGCAGGTGTACGGTGCAGATTACGATGAGACGTACGCGCCGGTGGGGAGCTACGTAACTCTGCGGATTTTCCAGAGCATTGTAGCAGTCCTCGACCTGCACCTAATGCAGCTCGACATGAAAAATGCGTTTTTGCAGAGCAAGCTGGATCGCGTCCTCTACATGTACCAGCCCGACTACTTCAACGACGGAACCGGCCGCGTCTGCAAGCTGCTGAAGAGCTTGTACGGGCTGAAGCAGAGTCCGCTGCTGTGGTACTCGGCGCTCGACGCGGTGCTAATTGGCGCGGGCTGGAAGAAGAGCCAGGTCGATGAGGCTCTCTATTTCAAGGTCGGCGACGACGGAGTGGCGTGCTGGGTGCTCGTCTACGTCGACGATCTGCTCGCTGCAAGCAGCAGCACTGCGATGCTGAAGGAGCTGAAAGAGCTGCTGGAGGCCGCCTTCGAGCTGCGCGAAATCAAGTTGGTCGAGAAGTATCTCGGGCTGGAAATCGTGCGCGACCATCCTACGAGGAAGCTGTGGCTTCACCAGCAAGTCTACGTCGACAAGCTGCGTCGGCGTTTCATCGACGAGGAGCAGACCGGGCGAGTGCCGAAGACGCCGGTCTCCGTCGACGCCTACGCAGAGCTGGTGTTCGACGACGAGGAGTTTCAGTCGCGCGAAGAAGCAGAGTACCGGCAGAAGGTCGGATTGCTGCAGTTCGCGGCCACCACGACAAGGCCCGACATTGCTTTTGCTTGCAGCAAGCTTGGATCCGGTCTGACAGTGCGGAGCGATAACCACTGGCGTGAGGTCGACCGCTGTCTGCACTACCTCGCTGAAACTCGTGACGCCGCTCTGGAGTTCGGTGGAGGACCAGAGTCGCTGTGTCTGGTTGGCTATGCAGATGCCGACGACGCTGGCGACAAGCAGAATCGGACGAGCACGGGCGGCTACGTTTTCATCTTCGGAGGAGCCGCAGTCTCTTGGTCGAGCCAGCGCATCAAGTGCGCGACGCTATCGTCGACCGAGTCAGAGTACGTCGCGGCCACCGAAGCCGGCAAGGAGGCTCGCCATCTACGCTTCCTCCTTGCAGAGTTCCGACTGCTCGACCCAAGGAAGCCGACTGTTCTGCATGTAGACAACCAGTCGGCGATCACTGTCGCAGAGGGCTTGGGGCTCAAGGGCAACCTCAAGCACATGGAGCGACGTTACGCCTGGCTGCAGCAGATGGTGAAGCGCGGGAAGATTGCTCTGCAGTACATCCCGACCTCCGAGCAGCCGGCGGATTTTCTGACAAAGGCGCTACATTTTCCGGCTTTCAACCGGTGCTCCGTCGCAATCGGCCAAGTGCGTCTGACCGACGTGGGCGACGGGGATGACGAGGTGCAGCAGTAGGTGTCGTGCCCTTTCTGCACGGCTGGTGCGGTGATCTACGTGCTATGTGTTCGGTGCACGTAGAAGGAAATTTCTCCTTGTATTCTATCCCTCCGGGTTCTGGGTGGACCTTGTGTGTGGGTGCCCAAGCGTGAGCTGGGCAGGGGAGTGTCGAAGAGAAAAGGCCCCGCCCTCGCTTGGGCGAAGTCGACCATGCATTTCGGAACAAGACGGTGTTCGTTTCGTTGTCATCGGCGACTTCGGGGACTTTTATCTGTGTGCGACGAGTCGTTTATCGACGAGATTAATTGGTCGAAGTAGAATTGTTTCCTCTGCTCGATCAAAGTCCTTGTCTAGAAGAAGCTCGTCGAAGGGAGTAAAACAGCGTCAAAGACGAGCCTTTCTGATAGACGGAATTGGCAGAATTGGTGTTTCGACGGATTGCTGGTTGACAGAATTTAGTTTGACGAGTGTTTCGTCGAGCAGAGCGATTCTGGTCGACCAGAATTTGTTCGTTGCTCGCGCCGCCGCGCGTCTCCATCCTCCACTCCTCGGCGTCCAAGCGTGGCTCGGTCGGTCATGGCCCCGTTTGCAATGCCGCGCGGATTGCCCCACCCCCACCTCCTCCCCATTCTCCCCTCCTCCCCACGCAATCCCCCAGCGGCGCCGCTGCTGTTGCAGGTGTTCACCTGCGGGGCGATGCGCCACTCTCCACCTAGCGTGGAGCAGCGAGTGGAGGCGGCACTGGCGGAGGCGGCGTTCAAGCAGATGGACAAGGGCGGCCACGGCAAGCTGTCCAAGCGGGATTTGCTGCCCGTGCTCGCCACGCTCGGCATCCAAGGCTCGCCTCCCCAAGGTCTGACGCCGCCCACACCGCCCCTTGCGTTGCCGCCGCGCGTCCTGCGCGCATATCCTGCGCTTCTATGCCTCTAATCCCGCAACTTGCCCTGCTTGTATCTAATTCCGTAAATAGGTAGGTGATTTGTAGTTTCGTACAGTCACTCAGTCCTTCCCTTCGTCCTCTTCCCTCCTTCCCTCCCTCTCCCTCTCAACCCGCCCGCCCATTCCCCCGCCTTCCTACCGCTCAACTGCTCCCACTGGTATCACCTCGCACTGCTCCCATCACCTCACACTGCTCCCATCACCTCGCACCTGCCAGTGGCAGAGGCGACGCTGTGGGCGCTGCTGCAGAAGTACGCGGCGGGCGCAGACGAGATGGGGCGCGAGCCGTTCAACGAGCTCTTCGTGCAGCTCGTGGCGGGCATGGTGGACCCACTCCACACGGGAGCGTAGGAGCAGCCAGATTTTGTGCGGGAGGCATCTATCGCGCTCAGCGCGTGCAGCCTTAGAAAAGTTGCTCTCACGCGCACGCGGTCCTTCCTCCCCCCCCCCCCCAACACACACATCCCAATTCTCTGCACTCACATGATGCTTCCCGCAGGGCTCCTCGAATGCCTTCCTCGCCAGTTCCGCCGTTCCCCAGTTCCCCCCCACTCCCACCCCCATTGCCCGCCCCTGCTCCTTGCCGCGCGTGCTTGCCTTCCCACTCCTCGCCCCTCGCCAGATCCTCGCGAGCAAAGAGAAGATGGCCAGCGAGACCTTCGCTGAATTGGACGTCAGCAACGCCGGCCAGCTGTCACTCGCTGACGTCATGAGCTGATTGCGGCAGTGGTTCATGATATGGGGGCTGGCGCCGCAGCAGATGGAATCGCTCCTCTCCTACCACATCACCATAGGCGACGTTGACAGCAGCAGCGACTTTGTGGACCGCGGCAAGTTCTCCGCGCTGTTCCCCGCGCTGCTGACGTCCCTCGTGGCACACCTGGAGCACAACCCCTTGGTGCTCAAGGTGTCCCTGCTCAAGGATCTGCCAGTGGGCGGCGAGGTGCTTGACGGCAATGTTTGAGGCTCCTACGACAGCAAGGGCCCTCGCGGAGTTGACTCGGTGGAGTGACTAACGTCCTCGCATCTCGGCACCGAATGCCGTGACGGTCACGCATTGGTGGTGCATGAATTCTAGCAGCAATGATCGGTGCCATGGTGGAAACCAAGAAGAACAGTAGGAACAAATAGAACAGTAGGAACAAATAGAACAGTAGGAACAAATAGAATGGTAATAATAGAGCAGCAGGATAATATAGTGACATGCCATGGTAATATAGAAAACAGAAAGTGGACAATGAGGAGTGTGGTGCGAATTCTCGATACAAGGAAATGCACTCTAGCGACATCCGTTCAATTATTCCCGCATGCACAAACTCATTTATAGTTAGGCAGGGTCCCTCAGTTGATTGAAAAAAAAAAAAATTTACTTCGATTGTCTAGTTCATCGTGGGAGTACAGTTTTTTGTTATCTCGTGTTAGGACCCTTGGCCTAAATCCGCTAAAGATTAGCAGGGTCGACTAAGTCAAGGATGACAACGCGGCGGAAGACTTTGGCGAAAGAACTATTGGCGAAATAGGCGAAGAAGTAACTGAGCAATGGTTGAATGAGAATTGGTTGATATGAGGGAATACAAGCAAGGTTGATATAGCATGCAAGAGCAACTGTGGGAAAGTGGGTTGTAGGACTAGGAACTAGAAGGTAAAGAAAATGTCGAGTGCCACGTGGCACTAAGAAATCTATGAAGATAAGGATAAGGGTGAGTTGGAAAGTACTGTTCAAAGTGAACAGTAAATCGCTCTCAAAGTAGAAATGCAACGGAATGATGAGATTAGGAATGTGGGTGATACAAATAGCAAACCCTAACTAAGGGCGTGTTCCTACGGCCTCATATCAGGAAACCTCGTATCAAGAATGTACTTTTTGTCTGGTAAAACTAGCGAGAGGTTTAAGGTTTAGGGGAATTTTCAGTGTGAGTCTGATACGAGGTTCTCTTGATACGAGGTGTAGGAACACGCTCTAAGTTGTACTCACTAATGAGCACCTCACTACAGCCTATCACAAATATCAACATTTGACACACCCCCATAGGCGAAGTGAGGGGCATCAAAGCAAGCAGGGTGAACAAACGGTCACAAGACCAGTCAATGAAAGAAGCAAAGCAAGCTCAGGGTGGATCTCAAGGACACCAAACAAATTCTGAGCACAAGCAAGCGGCCACAAGGCCAGTTCAAGAGTTCACTAGGATATATAATAGCAAAGTATAACAAGTAGAGCAAGCAACAAGGCTACATCAACCGAGGACCTGCCTCAACAAGCCCTAACTGCACACCAGGCGCCAAGGCCTTGGTGAAGAGGTCAGCAGTGTTGGCCTCCGAGGCCACAAAGTCCAGCCGCACCTGGCCGCGTCGCTGTAGCTTATGCAGAAGGAAGTACCGGACGTCGATGTGCTTCACCCTGGTCTCCAGTCAAGGCTCGTGACACAAGAGAATCATGGCCTTCTTGTCAGCGAACAAGATCGGAGCAGTGCGAGGTCGTTCACCAAGGTCAGCGAGCAAGAAGGTCAAACAGCGAAGCTCCTGAGCAGCCATAGCTGGCGTAGATCTCTGCCTCTGCACTGGACGAAGCCACCGACGACGACCGTGTGGACCTCCACGACACAGCCCCAGCTCCCAGACTGAAACAGTAACCCTGGGTCGAGCGCTGAGTCTCCACGTCGTCAGCGTAAGAAGAGTCACAACGGCCAGTCAGCTCAACTGGCCGAGTCCCTCCAAGCACAAGCCCTCACGGCAGCCGTCCAGTGAACAGGACGGTGCCTCCCAGGTCCAACAAAGCGAGAGAGGACACTAAGAGGGTAGGCGAGGTCCAGGCGAGTACAGGTCATCAGGTACATGAGGCAGCCAACAAGCTCTGGGTAGGGACCACTGGGCTCAAAGGGCTCGTCGGGGAAGGGGCCGGTGAGTCTATGGTTTACAGCAAGAGGATTGGGCTGTGTGGTGGAGTGCTGAAGCCCGAACCGCTGAAGGACCTGCTGCACCATGTGTGACTGTGTCAACGTGATGGTGCGAGCGGCTCTGTCCCTGGCGATCTGCAGGCCAAGGTAGCGCTGCAGTTCACCAAGGTCAGTGCACGTGTGTCTCTTCTGCTGTTCTGACTTCACCTCAGCCAGAGCTGCCCTGTCTGGTGTAGCAAATACCAAGTCGTCGACGTAGACGAGTATAAAGAAAGGAGTGGAGCCGGCACGAACAAACAGTGACGAGTCAGCAGAGGAAGGGCGAAACCCTTGGTCACGAAGCGTGGAGCGAAGAGTGTCGTGCCACTCACGGGGCGACTGGCAGAGACCGTAGACTGGTCGCCTCAAGCCCCACTGGGTCCAGGAGGGAAAGTACCAGTGAAACCAGGAGGACGGCGCAGCCAGATCTCCTCATGCAGTCGTCCCTAGAGAAAGGCAGTGGAGAAGTCGAGGGAGTGGAGCTCGTAGTCACGCTGTGCCGCTACGTGTAGTAACACCCGAAGTGTAGTCATCTTCGGGGTCGGAGCGAAGGTCTGGAAGAAGTCAACTCCCTTGCGCTAACTGAAGCCTTTCGCCACATAGCGCGCCTTGAACACCGGGGGTGATCCAGGCGACCGCTTCACCTTGAAGAGTCACATGCCATCGACTACGTTCGCGGAGGGGGGGGTGGAACTGCGTCGACGTACGTGCCTGTGGATCTCCAAGACGCCAACTCTGAGTCAATGGCCGCCTTCCACTGAGAGACCCACGGCCCTGACACTGCCTCACGTTACGTGCGAGGAGTCGGTATGTCAAGGGCGTCGGGGTCTCCCTCAGGGGAAAGCAGCATGGCATAGAGAGTGGGAGAAGCGGCTGCCAGGTACTCCAGCTCAGAGTGCCTGTCCTCTAGGACGTTATAGCCAAGGGCAAACTCACCCCCGACGGACTGAGGACGGGTAGGTGGAGCGGGCACCACACGAGTGCTGTAGTCAAGGTGGCTGGCGGCGGCAAAGTCAGCGATAGTGGCAGAGAGAGCCGAGACAGACGATGGAGAGAAATGAGGGTCGGTGACAACAGTGGTTAGAACGCGGGAGACAACAGGGCGAACAGCAAGGTAGTAGTCGGAGATAGGAGTAGGGGAGACATGAAGAGAAGACGGAGGAGACAGGAGAACGGACACCGATGGAGGAGAACGACGAAGAGAAGTACAAAAGAGGGCAGTGTGGAGGTCGGTAACGGGGGACGAGGGACGAGCACTCGGAGGACAAGGGCGGCAACAGTAGTGACGAACAACAGGAGGAGAAGACTGTGGGAGAGGGGAGGACCAGACCGTCGGACGGTCGTCAAGAGGAGGAAACGTAGGACCAAACGCAGGGGGAGACTGAGAGCGGACACGAGGAGAGGAGGGAAGACCAAGGGCCCGAAGGCCACTCACGGGCGGGAACAACTGCCGCTCCAGAGGGAGCTGCTGCTGCTTCAGCAAGGCGGCTGCTGCTGCTGCTGCTTCAGCAAGTCCAACTGCCGCAACTCCTGTCGCTCCCGCTCCAACCGCTCCTGCTCCTTGCGCGCACGCCGGCAGGCCACCTGGTAACGAGTGTCGTGGCAGTGGGGAGGCGGAATGCTCTTCGCAGACGTAGTGCCCCCAGCTCCAGTCTCCTCAGAACTAGCACCCCTAGTACCAGTGTCCCCATAAGGGGTACCACCAGGGTCAGGATCCCTAGTCCCAGCGCCCCCTGTCCTAGCACCCCCAATGCCAGGACCTCCAACTCCAGCACCCCCAGAACTAGCACCTCCCGTGCCAGCACCCCCAGCTCCAGCACCCCCAAACCTAGCACCTCCAGCGCCAGCACCTCCAGCTCCAGCACCCCCAGGGCTAGCGCCACCTGTGCCAGCACCTCCAACTCCAGCACCCCTCGAACGAGCACCCCCAGACCGAGTACCGCCAGTGGCTGCACCTCCAGCTTCAACACCAACTGAGTCCACAGTAATGTTGGATGCACGTCATTCTGAGTGCATGTCATCCTAACGTCCTGCCGAGTGCTCGTGCTATTCATGCGTGCATTGTGTGCATGAGCATATGTCATTGTGCATGGCTGTTGGATATTATCATCTCTGTGTTTTTCTCCAAGTTTAAATGCTTGATCATGCAGGAGAAATCCAGAGCTTTCCAACGATACCAAGATCGCCTTATTCCGACCAAGATCACCCAAGTTACAAGATTTCCAAGACTTGGATTTCTTATTACCTTTTGGGGTTATATCTAATTTGGGTGATTACTTGGACATGACTATAAAGGGATCTTTGGTTGGGTGGTTTGGGAGGCAACTTTGACTTTTGGATTGGGGTGGCTAGAAGTTTCTAGCATGGGTTGCAAATGTTGCAACACTTAGGCAAAATCCAACTAGATTGGATTTTGCATGTGACACCTCAAGAACCTCATGATGAGGGTTGCATCCTTGCTGCTATGAAGGTTCCTACCATCCTTCTCTAGCTCTTGGAGAACCCCTTCCCTCTCATGGTTCTCTTGGAGTCCCCAACTCCAACTTTCTATGCTCTAATGTTTGTACTTCCTCCACCATCCTAGTAATGCGGCTGCTGGACGTTTTTACTTGGTTCTCACTCTCTAGACCATCTTAACGACTGATTCAACTTGGAGATGGTAGCTAAGCTTAAGGCGCAACATCCTACCGAGCACATTTGCGATTAGATGAGAAATGAGTTCAAAGTAAGCTCTCAAAATGACGGATCCTGAACAACAAGTGGTATCAGAGCTGGTAGTCGACTTTGAGATGACGAATCGTCGCGAATTCTCAACCAATGTTGACGGGTGAGACCATTTTCTATTAGCCCTGCTCGCAAAATTTCGATTGGTGGTCGAACCGCATTCTAATTCGAAAAATCTAGTCGGCAACGGCGATTTTCGTAAAATCGAAATTTCTGGCAGAATTCTCTCCAAACGATTTCTCAAGTTTCCACCGTTCATAAGGCCTCAATATGGTTGGTACGAACTCCGGAGGTGCTAGTGGCGAGA